TAACCATTAATCTACTTTCTGCCATGCCTATTTTTGATATTTTATGTGTGATCACACATTGTGGCCTTCCGTGTCTGACTTATTTAACTCAACCTAACGCTTTTAAGTTCATCCATATTGTAATATGCTTCAGAACTTTGCTTCTCTTCATGTTGGATAATAGTCTATTTTATGTGTATAACATTTTGTCTGTCTGTTGACGGGCAATGGGTTGTTTCCATCTTTTGGCTATTGTGCATGATGCTGCAATAAACATTGTCACCACGGGCTATGGACTCACCACTGTATGCATGGCTGAGTCTCTTCTTTCAAGTCTCTTGGTCTGTATATACCTACGAGAGGTACTGCTAGGTCATGTACCTCCTGTGCAAGCACCACCTAGCCATGCATTAGCAGAGCTTTACATATTGCTATACTGCTGAGCAGGTTCCAGCACAGCAGCCACACTAAGATGGACTAGGAAGAAAGGTCTGGCCATCTATTCTTTAATAAACCAGCCAATAAAAAGGCTATGGTCCAACCCAGCAGTGACCAGGGAGAAGGTGCAGGACCAGGCACGCATAGCTCTGTTGTGCATGGGGGTTGCCATGAGGAGGGAGCCGCCTAAAAAGCAGCTAGCAACAGTAACCCAAGTTTAACTTTCTGAAGAATCGTATTTCACAGAGGATGTACCATTGTATCAACTCCGGTTATTTTCTATTTTTGGGGGTTAGTGGTGTTTAATTACAGCCACCCTAGGGGATGTGAAATGGTATCTCACTGTGGCTTTATTTGTAGTTCCTAGTGACAAATGATGTTGAACATCCTTTGGAGAAAGGTCCATTCAAGCACTTTGCCCATTTTTTTGTTGTTAAGCTCTAGTGGCTTCTATACTCTGCTTTATGTGTTATTTTTGTTGTTAAGTCAGAGAGGTTCATATATTCCAGACTTTTTGCCCTTTAAAAAGCATTTTTGGGTCACAATGGAAAAGCTCCAAATTTTTGGTGTTGCACGTGATGCTGTCAGGCAAAAATACCTGCATCATAAATTTGACCTGGTTATGTTTAAGTATCTTAAAGTCAGTTTACAGGGAAGTTTCCGTATTTGGGATCTAAAGGATACAAAGTTTGACTCACAACGATCTGGTGTCACGATGAGGAAACTAGATAGGTTGAAAGGAAATGTGATAAAACTTAAAATACTGACATATTAGAATTTCAATGAAAGATTTTCTAAAATGAAATTCACTGGTGACAAATACAGATTAGTTGGTGTAGGAGGAGAAACAACCCAAATACAAAATAGACTTGACATTGAGGTCCAGTGAGATTGCTCTTACACAGGACCTAATAGAGGTCCATGGCTATCTAACAGAAAAAAAAATACAATGCAGGTAATGTAACACATAATTTCTAGTAGCCATATATAAACAAATAGATGAAATTAATTTTAATAAGTTTATATAACCCAAATTATAAAAATATTATTTCCCTGTATCATCAATATAAAACCTGAGTTATTATGTAGAAAGATATATAGATACATACACACATATACATACATATATTTAATCAAGTCTTCAAAATCTGGTATTATACACAATTACAGCACAGCAAGTGTTCAGTAGCACCGTGGCTAGGAGCTACAGGCTACAGCTTAAGCTAACGCCTTGTTTGTCTTCCTCTATATTCAGCCTCTAGATTCAGGATCAGTCCCATTATGGCCTCGTTCAATTCTTAGTCTGCCTCGAGTCTCGGAGGCCATCTCCTTTCACTCAGCCCTGTAGTCCATCATTTTCTATGACTGTAATCCAAATCACATTCCAACGTTCCCTGTCTTCCAAACCTCGTTCAGTCTCCACTCTTGCATCAAAATAGTACTCGACAAAGTCCTTCCACTCTTCTTTGCTGGTTCCCATCACCTTCTCACTCTAACTGAAAGGGAGGCTATCGAATTGAGAGTTGCGTCTTCCTGCAACCTTCTCATGAGCGGCCTGATTTTCTCTCAGGTGGTTTGACAAGAAACGTTTCCCCCTCATTCTCCGTGGCTGCTCTGAACCACCTTGACCCTGTCCTTCCCAAAGCCCCAACTCCCTGAAAGTATATTCTGGGAGACTATGTGAACCATCATCATCCTCATAGCTGTCGTTACAGACTTCCTGGTCAATCTCTCTCACTTATTCATCCCACAGAACTGTAGTGAGCCACAGAGAAGTTGCTGAGAGCCAAGAACACAAAAAAGAAGTAGCTAGAGATCTTAGTAATACATCAAATCACCACAATTTCAGGAAAGAAGTTTAGCTTATTTGAAATATGATATGGACACCTGATTATATAAAACCAAATAAAAACTGCCCTTACTTATTTTTAAATGATTTTTAAAATCATAAATTAAATAGGGGCTTAAATTTCAGAGTATCACTTTTACATTCAACAGTTTAACTGGCTAATCAAACCGACCAATAGTTTGCCCTTCCTAAGCCTCCTGGACTCCTCTTCTCCCTCTCGTGGACCATCTTCTCGGTCGCTAACACCCAACCACAGGTGAGCTCGGTCAGTGCATTATCGCTGAGCCCTGGTTCTCTGACTTTGACTGAACCCAGAAAAGCATACTTAGACTAAAAACTTGGAAGAAATTTTTACGATCAGAATTGAGAAATACAACTTTAAAAAACATAGATGCACCAGTCTCTTTAATAAAAAGTGAATACATTTCTAATTCTAAAATTTTACACAAAATAAATTCTCTATCTACTTCTAATTCTCACTGTCTAATATGGATAATCTTTGGTCCACATGTGTTAAAGAACACACACCTGCTCCTTTTCAAGCATATCAGCCTTTCTCAATATCTTCATTGCATAAATATGACCAGTGTCTTTCTTCTGGACCAACCGTACCTGGAACATAAACATATATTATAAACACACGTTACTATTCCTCAAGAGTGAAAGGCAAGTTCTATTAAAACAAGCAGGAATTTGCCATTGTTGTTAGCTCAAGACATTTTAATACATATTTTTACTATTTTAAAGATATATATAGACTTTGTGGCAAGCATAGATAACTATACATATGCCAAGCCGGGAGCAGGTGCTCTAAAGATCAAATCGGTAGAGTTTCCAGTGCAGTTAGCTTGGAACAGGAAGTGATAGGTTAGAAGATTAGGGATAGAGGGAGATTGTCTCCACCAAATGCCTACACTAAACAAAAATAACAGAAATTCGCTGGCCACGCCCCAACCAAGGGGTTGGAAGGAAATCAGGCACACATTGGACACCTCTGGCGACACTCCAAAGCTGGGGATGCTCAGACCAAGGTCACCTAGACACATGTGGAGGTCAACCTGAGCACCAGCAACATTCCATCACATGTGCGCCTGAACTCAGCCACTCAGATGGGCCAATACCCTCAAGCACAGCCCTCCAAGCGTGGACAGGAGGGACAAACAGCACAGACCCAGGGGCAGCACTCCTTCGGGCCACAGGGCGAGATCTCTCAAGGGCTCTCACTCTCTCTTCCTTTTCTGAGTTCCCTGACTCCTCACTCCTCTGTTGGTTCTGTGGACTCCGCTCTTCACAGTCATTTTCCACTCCCCTGAGCGGCCATTTTCAGTGGTGAACTCTCTCACGCCCCGCCATGCAGCCTGGCACACTTTCCAGAGATAGCATGAACTAGCTGAGACTGTATTACCGAAACGTCCCTTTCCCTCACATGTTACTTGGATGACAAAAGTGCTTCTGCCGCGTGAAATCTTTCAGCATTGAGAAAGAAGCAAGCACCAAGGAAAACCACTCCAGCAGCCTAACAGAAGCACACCTCGCCAAACGCTCCTCTTCCGATAACTTTCAGAGACTCAAAGTCATCCAAGCCAAGTCTGGTCCTCTTTAGCCGTAAGAACTCGGTTTCTTTGCGTGCATGTTGTGATCGACGTAACTTTTTCTATTAAAAAAAGAAGGGACAATTTAATAGGATAATTTTATCATCAGATGGCTTCAAATGAATGCTACCATATTACAGATGATGCACATAAAACCGAAGGTACAGTGTAATAAATGTTACACACTAATGCTTTAACTTATTTATAAAAGTATTAAGTATGGAATGACTAAAACAATTTAATGAAAATATGTCATAATGTGCTAACATGTGTTATGTTTAAAGTATATATAATTTTTTAACATTTTTACCGACATAAACGCATGTTTTATACACTTCAATATTCAAGTATATTGAAGAACTGTGCATTCGTCAACTCGGTCAATTTTAGAACAGTTTCTTCATTTTTGTGTATCTATTTCCTCATTTCCCCGCAGTATCTCTTGTCATAATCCTAGGAAACTATTAATCTAATTACTGTCTCTAGAGATTTACCTATCCTGAGTCTCGTATAAAGAAAACCATTTAAACAAACAAGCAAAAATCCCAGCCACACAAACAAAACAAAATAAGCCTAGCATCTACAACAGAATAAGAGCCTCGATCTAAAAGGTAGCAGAATGTATTAAAAACTAGAACAAGTTGAAAATTAAATTAAAGGAATAACAAGTGGTGGTAAGATGTTAAATTTTAAACTATATCTAAGTGATGCATCAGCTAAGTCATATGGAAGCACACCAACCAGCACAATCAAAGGATTATTAATAATAAAATCCAAGGTCAAAGAGAGAGACTATCAGAGCTTGTGTTCTGAGCACTCTGTCTACAGGAGCCTATGAATGACAGTGGAAGCCCAGAATTGATTTGAATTCCATAGATTCACAGACCAAGAATATGAATAGTCACACCCAGAAGGAACACATCGGAATGTGGATTCCTACAGAGGTAAAACTTGTTGGAGCGTTTGGTTCAGAGTAGATAAGTCAAGACAGTAAGAAAGGCACATAACAGCTGCTACCACGATCACCTGCACTGACTACAAACACAATGGAAGGTCCCAGGTAGAATGGAAGAAGAGTGGAGAACAGAACTCCAGTTCCTGCAACGGGCCAGGCCCACTGCGCTGACAGAGTTTACAGGACACCCCCCAGGACAATCACCCTATAAAATAACCTTTGAAGTGAAGCTTTTCTTCACTCAACAGATTGGCTTATAAAACAAATAATATCACCTGTGAGTAATGCGCTTCCTTAAACAACAAACTATGTCTTCATGAGACAAAAGAGTAATATTTACTCAAAAGCAAAGGAGGGGGGGAAGCAAGATCAATGGAAAGAAAAATATAACGAAAATAAGAATGTTGACACACTATAAAAACTGTAAGCAATGTCATGTAACAATTTGTTCAAAAATTGTTAAATAGGATTTAATTAGCTGTGTCAACTTTCACTTAAAACACAGTAATATATTATTAAAAAAACTAATTTAAAAGACCACATGGTGGCACTATAGGATTATGTCTTCCAAATTGTAGGTCTCTTCCCGCCGGCCCCCCCACCCAACACAAACTTTTTAAAAATTTCATAAATGAGTAAAATTATAAGGCTTTTTAGATTTTTGCCGTCATGGATTATAAAACAGAATGCAATTGGGTCGCTACAGCAAGTATGACCTCACTATGTACAGTTTCATAAACGCGCTGAAAACGAAGGGAGAAGAGATGCTGCGGTTAGAGAAAATGATGTGAAGTGGCTCGTGGGCTGCACAAGGCAGCAAATATGACGTGAATGTACTTTGGGGCACAGCTATTTAAAGACAAAAAAGGAGGCTTGAGTGGATTATCATTTTAAACTTAAAATCGGCACAGTACAGAAGTAATGAATTAAGTTCCTATTAAAAGCAATTTTTAAAATGTTCAAGATTTACATTAAGTAGCCTTGAAAGAGGAATCAAACTTCCTTTCCTCTCCAAAGACACAAAGAAAGAATTATGTTTTTCATGACCACATTATATAAAGTTTTTACAATTTATTACAAAATTCTCTAGTATAGAATGAACTAAATTTCTCTGCTGTGGTTTACATTAAAAAAAACAATTCTTATGCTTTCATAGCTTATTAAAAAGAAAGTTACCCTACATAAAGATACTGCCAAGATATATTTAATACTGAAGTGGAAAAGGTTTATCTATTTTATAGAATTTGACATAATCCAAGACCTAGCTTGGACTCTGGTAATTAAAAGCATTTGTGAAATTAAAATTATGGGAATTTTTAGAAAATTTAGAAAATGGTTATAATAGATCAACTATCCTTAGGAACTAATTAATCTCAAATTTTCTCTAAGTTATTTATAAGATTCAAATAAAATAGCTCTGAATGTAGTTAATACTTGTTGTAGGCCAGAAGCTCAAAATTAAAAAATGTTAAAAACTTCTGAATCTGAGTTGTGAACTACATTGCCTACAAAATAAAGCATAAGTAAGCTTTATTTACTTTTCTTAGTAAGCTATTTCAGGTTTAGCCTGACAGTATGAGCTATTACTCTGCCCTTTATTGTACCCTTTGTAGTACAAATGTAATTTCATTACTCTGTATATACTCATAGATGTATAATTTTGTATATGCTTCTTATCTACATTAGATACAAATTCTACTCATGCTTTAAGGTTGCAATCATGTCACATGTCTTTCATGAAGTCTTTCCTGATCCACTGAATTTTTAAAGATTAAGTTTCTATGTATTTTGAAAGTATGCAACATTCTATGTTCTATATGTAAATTTACATACTAGACACACACCACTCATATAATCTTCCAAGTTGTAAACTTCTTGAGGGCAAATAAATTAATAAGTTAACTACTTGTTAATTTACCCGCCAAATATTTATCATACTCTTCTGCTTAATGCTGAATAACACATTACAGAGTGTCCACGCCGTGAGGAGAAGGTGTCTGGTGTGCTATGACAGGCCGAACAGCGGTACTGTGGCATGTGAGGGGAGTGATTTGGGATAGGGAAGCTATCCCACTGGAAGGGATGCATAAGAGAGACGTACTGCTCCTTGACGGATGGGAGCTGAGAGGGCGTTAGGAAGAGTTCCAAATGGCAGAAACAGCACGTGAAAAGGTCTACTAGGGAGTCGGGAATTCAAATAATCAGTAGTGTTGTTGAGATGAAGCTAGAGAGGCAAGCACTGGCCAACCCCTAAGATATGCTATCCACCGAGGGCAAAGTTCATAGATACCCTGAAAACACTTGGGAGCCAGCGAAGTGTATTCAGCAAAAGAATGGCACAATCAAATCTGGTTTTCATATCACTTTGACTGCAACATGCAGAAAAACGAGGGGTGAGAGTGGGGCCAAGATGGAGGTGGAGAGATCAAGCAGGCACTGTTAGATCGGGGTGAGGTAGGCTAACAATGCTGGAGCTAGACAAGTGAACGGTTTTAAGAAATACTGAGAACAAAGATGAAAGAAAGTACCAGGTGCTTGGTACTTTTGGTGCCTTACTCTTTTGTTCCACAAACCTAGAATAGTACAGATCCTGTTCACTAAATAGATGTTAGATTTTTATTTTAACCCGTGGCTGCCTTTTAAAGATATTTATAATAGCAACAAAGTCAGAAACCCACAGTCAAAGTTTGAAATCTGCATTATTTAACCCACTGCTATACAGTTAATTCCAACTCAGAGCAACCATATAGCCTCATCTTTCTCCCAAGGAGTGGCTGGCTGGTAAATTCACACTGCTGACATCGCAGTTAGCAGCCCAACACTAATTCACTAAGCCACCAGCATCCCCTACATTATCTATATTATAATAGCATTTGAAATCAATAATGAAAAATTAAAGTTGCTTTTGTACAGTAAACACAGCTTACATTACCTCTTCATCTGCTAATCCTTCTTCTTCCATGGCCACTTCTAATTTCTTCTGCCTTTTAAAGAGAAGAAATAATTTTAAAATTTGGTTCTAACAAGTTTCATTTACAAAACACCCATTCATTTATTCAAGTTTACCACTACTGATTCCTAAGTGAAAATGCTGTATCTTTTGCCTTAGAGCACAACAACCACTATGAAGAAGGTATTTTTCCTCCTGAAAATAAAAACCCAGGACATCCATAACACGCTGCATTATTAAAGGAGTTCTCAGGGCTACTGACCTTACAGTAGAAATTGAGTAGTAGTATATTCCTCTTACACCAGAAAAAATAAATAAAAAAAATAAAAACCCAGGTCTACCTCTCGCATACTCGCCAAAGAGATAACTTACTTATAAAATTTATTTCCCTCGCTTTTCTAAATGAATTGGTCACTAAGATGACTAATGTTTTAATACTGAATACTTTGTACCCATGTTCAAGCTACTAATTTATCGATGCTTATGCTAAAGGTATGCAGGTAAATATAGCAGCTAAATGTAGTACTGAAGGTAAGTAGGCCTGCATTTTAAGCCTAGTTCGAACACTACAGTAGTCCTACTTTATGCACGAGGCATCCGATCAAAGACTCCCAGTGAATTCTTGAAACATCAGTTAGCGTAAACCTTATAGAGACAAAGGTAAGTAAAAACATATTGCTACTAGAGGCACAGTGCATCGGGAACAGGTTGATCCCTAACAAGATGTGGCTATGCGTGTTTCTGTGACCATGGGTGACTGCACACAGGTCTTGCAGAAAGACACTTGTCTTCGTCTCAGTAGGCTGCCTTCAAAAAAAGCCAGTCAAAAGAAAAGCTTCTAAGGAGATTTGTGAGACCAGACAAACCAGTCTTTAAATTTCTCTAAGTCAAAAGAGGTACAATTTTTATTTAATGTCAAATGGTTATCTTAGTCTACAATATACATAAGGCCCCTCTCTATGCATTCAAATGCTTTCAGGGGCACTGAAAGACCGTAAACATAATATAGTAATACCACTGTTTGATGTGTGTCACAAGGTAGTGTGCATTTATTACTATAAGCCACTATACATACAATAGATTTTTATTAGAATAGGTTTACACGAATGGAGGCTGTCTGTAACTGTGCAAGCCGGACACTCGAACCTCCGCGACTAGAGATACTTCAGTTGTTCTCTTCTGCCTTTCCTGGGACTGCTTCTTTTTTCTCAGCACCCCCTGATTTGGAAGTTGAAATCCCAGTGGATTCCATGGGAATGGGCCCATCGCTGCACTGCATTTGCTGTGAAGTGAGTTCCTTGATCTGAAGCAATGCTATG